TATGAACTCGTAAATTATGTGGGTAATGTTTCATTGTGATATAGTTGATTATTTAAAAACTCAGGACCATTCCACCAAAGTGTCATGATATTCAGTTCGAAAGGATTAACCCCCCTAGATAGTACATCAGTTGGATTTTGTTGTGTTGAGACATGTTTCCAAATTACCCATTTTGTAAAACTGTAAGTATCTACTCGATTAGCTACGAAGGTATTTAATTTACTTGGATCGATTTTTAACCATGATAACACAATCGTTGAATCTGAATAACAAATAATGTTTGATAAATTAATTTTGAGATCACATTTAACCTTATTAACTAATTTTGAAAGTAATGTAGCTGCTAAAAGCTCCAATCGCGGTAGCGTATGCTGTTTTCGAGGTGCTACTCTTGATTTAGAGCATAAAAGGTTCGAATATTTTTTATACGTTGGATCGTAAGACACAAGATAGATAGATGCACCATAGGCACGCTCTGGCGCGTCACTGAATCCGTGTAATTCCGTTTTCACAGCATTAGTACATGTAACTTGTCTTGGTATTGTAATACTGTTTATGTCTTTTAACCCTTTAGTGAATGTTAACTAACTTTGACGCAATTCTAAAGGTCATCTCATGACAAATTTAATTCCCATAAGTATTGCAAAAATATTCTAGCTTTGATTACTGTAGGACCAACTAATCCCAACAGATCCAAAATTTAGGACACTTGAGCTAAAACTGTTCTTTTTGATATGCATGAATAATTTGTCAATATATTAACTGAATAATTTAAACTATCTGAATTGGCTATCCATGAAATTCCTAAGGTTTTTAATTCATTACTGTCTTTAATATCTACTATCTTCTCTTCTTCCTTGTTGTCTTTTAAAATTGTATTTAATATTGCTTTTTCATTTGATGACTATTTNATATATTAACTGAATAATTTAAACTATCTGAATTGGCTATCCATGAAATTCCTAAGGTTTTTAATTCATTACTGTCTTTAATATCTACTATCTTCTCTTCTTCCTTGTTGTCTTTTAAAATTGTATTTAATATTGCTTTTTCATTTGATGACTATTTTCTCAGCTTAAATCCTGCCTGATTCAAAATTTCTGTCAACCCTTGGTAAACCTTTAACGCTTCTTCCAACGTTTCTATACTACATAATAAATCGTCCATGTAAAATGAATCCTTTTTAATTTGACATGTTCGCGGATATTTTTGTTCGTTAGCTGTCGCAATTCGTTGTAAAAATTTGTTGTAAAAAAAAAACGGTATTTAATGTGTATAATTGTATCTCTTGAGTATCTTCGTATCTCCACATAATTAACTGATATTTTCTGTCATCAGGATGTTTTAATATTTGTGGAAACATTCGTTTGATATCTGCGCTTAATAGGTAACTATGAAGTCTTAATCGCATTACTATCGAAAATAAATCAATTTGGACAGTGTAACCTATATGTAAATTGTCATTCAATGATATTCCTAAATTTGACTTTGCAGACGCATTGAAAACTTCTCTGCATCGTGTTGTTGTGCTGCTTTGTTTAATGACTGGGTGATGTGGTAGAATGTATGCAGGTTGTTTAATTTGCTCCCGTATGTTTGTTAAAACTGACATGTTACCTAACTCCTCATATTCCTTCATAATATCTTGATAATCTATTTTAAGCGCATTTTCTCTTTGAAGTCTAGATTCTATCGCGAGCAAACGTTTGTGTGCTACTGATCGAGAATCACCAAATTCATTTAAATTATTTAAAAATGGCAATCTGACAATGAACTGACTCTTCTCGGAACGCCTTGCAGTTTTAATAAAATATTCTTCACAGTAATGTACCTGTAGCGAAAGAATTTGTTTTTCAGGAATCTCTTCTGTTTTCCCAAATTTTGTTAAACTGTCATCAAGCATTTCGTTTGTGATTTCACGTGAAAGAGAACATAACGAGTTATTGTTTGAGATACTATTTGTTCCTGTGAAAATCCAACCTAATAAAGGTTTATTTGTAATAATGTTGCTTTGACTTCCTGAATCTAACAACGCACTGCAAACATGTGCCTTCCCGGCACTGTCATAGACTTGTATTTTTGCTGTAGTCAATAATACAAACCCTTTTGTGTGCACCTGTGAAGTCTCCAAAATTGTATTATTCTCTTTAACGTGTCATGCTTGTATTAATTTCATGTGGTATTTGATTGTATTTATGTTCATGTAATGTGGTAGATGATGCTAGTCATTTTTGATTGTTTTGAGAGTATGGCTCTACTTGATATGTACGATTGGATTCGCTTGTGTTCGGAGACTATGTGGTTTGATTGTGTGTTTCACCATCTGAATTATGTAATAATGTATTGTGATTACGATTGCAACGTTTGCATTTTCCTGATTTACGATTTATTCTTAAATGTTCTGGCCGAAGCCAATTAATACATAGCTTTAAGTTTCTTACCTGACTGTATTTTTGACTAGGTGTTAATTTATTAAATTCATGACAGGCATAAATGTGATGGTGTTGTTTACAGTATGGACACTTAATCTGTACATTTGCAAATACTGCTAAGCTTTGTTCTGAATATTTAAAATTTGCATAACTTTTATTTTGATTAGTTTAATTATTTGTTGTGCCTATAGATGACTTACTATTATCTGTTGTTTCTTATGTAAAACATTTTTTATTTAAGAATTTCATTATTTCATCCTAAGTAGGCAAATAATCGTCACCGTTTAATGAACTTTCCCATTCACGGTTTGAGTGTTATCTACCTTTAATGTGATTAAATTTACTAAAATCGCATCCCATTGTTTAACTGGCAAATTTAATTTTTCTAACGCAGCAACATAATAATAAAACCCATCCGTTAATTGTCTCAATGAAAAAGCTGATTCCTTTGATACAACATTTAATTCAAAAAGTGCTGTGATATGTGTGTTTACTGTATTACGTTTATGTTGAAATCTGTTAACTAGTTTGTTCCACGCTTTTAAATAATTATCATTTGATACCTTGTATGTTTGTATTAATTTTGAAGCATAACCACTTAATGAAGATTTCAAAAATCTGGCTTTAGATATGTTTGATAAATTTGGATTATTGTGAACAAGTCCCACAAAGTTATCTTGAAATGAATTCCAATCACGATAATTCCCAGAAAACGTTGGCAGATTAAGCTTTGGCAAATTAATACTTATAAGTGGGTCTAAACTTCTTTGTTCTCCAACCTCCGGTAAATGCAATGAATTGCTATCAGAGATTAGTAATAATTCGATATTGCTTCGTAAAACTTGTTTTCTGTTTCCTCTCGCGCCGCTTCTTCCTTTTCATCTAGGATTTCTAACCTACCCTGTACCATGTCTAATCTTTTAAATGAGTTTTCTATTATTTTTAGTCTATATTCTAATTCTAATATATTTGAAACCTTTTGAGGATTGTTTTGATTGCCTTTTCCGTATCTACATCCATTGTATATGGGAGCAGGAAAAGTATGAAATGAAAATGGATACTCACTGTTTTCCTCTATCGTCTGTATGTGTGTATTGCTTTTCTTACTTGCAGTTGCTTTGTATGTGTAATCGTAGTGTAACTACCCTTTTACGAATGTGTTGTGTCTTGTGCGTGTATGTACCCATTTGCTGCTTACGTGACGTGCTGATTGTTGTTGAGGACTGTAAACTTTTGTACTGATTTGCATCAAGGACCACCCCTAGCAGGAATAAAATTGATTAAAGCATATTATCTTTATTGACTGATAGGTGCCACTCTCGTTTGCGATCACACCCTGACTCTTACACACTGTAAACTCACAATCGCTTCACCTGGTTAAAGGTGTGTGACGCATGTGCATAAAATAAATCGTAATTCAACAAAAAAATAAGAAATTATACACTTGCTTTTTATGCATAAACCCCTAAGCAGTCGGTGCATGGTCCAAAATCGTCGTTAGTAAAGCCTTTCATTTCCTTTTCCGTAAGTCTTCTGGTCAATATTAATTCCCAATTATTCAAAGATAACACCTCCCAGTTATGATAAAAGTCTCCACATTTCAGTAGGGTAATTAAAGCATGTTTTCGCTTTTCTGGTTTCTTTGGCATTGCTTATATTTTGGCAATCTCGACTTCACTTTTGTGACGTCTTTCTGAGTGATGAACCATTTCACGGAAAAAGTAATTGCAGTAATAGCAACAGTGGTTTTTATTTCTTGACCTTTTACCAGTAATTTTTTTAACTCGATTGAAATATATTCCTAAATTAGGATTGAATCCTCTTGAGTACACAAAGCAATTTGATCTGTGGTCAATAACTTCTTTTCTAATTCTTCAGTTTGCACTTGATCAATATGAGTTGAAGTTGAATTACATGTCATATTTGAAACATCATTATCAGTACTAAACTCAAAAGAACAGGCCTTTTCTGAACTTTGAGTTACACTTTCTGATATGTACGATGTACTACTGTCGTCGTCATTACTCGAGATATATTCACTTTCAGAGTAGTTTTCTTCAGAATTCTCTTCAGTATACGATATAGGATACCGTTCATTTAGAGACCTCCTTGAACGTTTTAGGGACTGTACATTTACGAGTTCCATATTAACTACTTTTAAAATGGGGCTAACATAAGCAACTTTTTTAGAGAGCCATTTCAGAATTTCATCTAAGAAATAAATATAAACAGTAACTGTGTTACCACGTGAAACAAAAAAAGGATAAACTTTTCCTATTCAATAGCTCGTTTTGTTCATTAACCGTTGTTAATAGAATAGTTATAGGGATGCTGTGACAGTTCCATGACTGTCCATCCTCAGTCCCTTCCTATTACCTTTAATAGCACCTTAGAGGTCATTCTTCGTGTAGAAGAAGAAACTTCGTGCCCAGGGTTGTAAAACTGTGTTTTGTTTGACCTCTAACAAAACTTGGAGGTCATTCTTCAGTTGAAGGACTCCCTAAGAGCCTCTGGATTGTCCTCATAGTGGGCGGAGCCTAATCGAATTTAAATTTCGTGTGTTTAAAGATCAATGCTGAAGAAGCAAACCACACCCTTCTTCTATTGACCTTCTTCCTCGATATCTTTCAAGGCCATTGTTCGGCTGCTACCATCCCTTTTTAGAATACTTTTGATTCTTTTGTAAACTTAATTAGAGGAACAGCACGCTAATATTTGCCAACGTTGTTGAACTTTAGCCACTTGAATACTTTGTGACGTAATTGAACTTTAGTCTCTTAACTTTTTGTGTAAATAAGAGGAAACGTCACAAAACAGGACTGAACCTGCTTAGGTTTACTGAGAGTTTAAACTTTATCGGTAAATAATGAAACACATTAAACGAAGAAATAATTTTATTTGTATATGTAGTAATATGTACGAGTAGTTACACAGCTTACATTAAAGTCGTTGTATTTACAGGTTTATTTGTCTTCATCGTTGTTCCATGAAAACAACAATCGAGTTTTTTTCCCACATTTATTATATTATACATATATTATAACCACCATTTTTGTAATAGTCGATGGAACTTAAGCCTTCAACTTCACGTATTGAATCTTCAGTTTATTTATTATGTTAAAGTATTTATTATCCTTTCCGCTCAGTTACTAATTCGCTTTGACTCATGTTCAATCTCTGTCCGAATTTCCTCCATAAGGAGTTCAGACAGATCTTCGCAATGACTCTTCTTCTCGGATTAACCGCAATTTTATTCAAGTCCAGCTCTATATCCGTCTGTTCTTTAATGATACGTGCGTATGTCTCGTTCGATTCGTAATTGTGCGGACTCGTTTGTAATTTTATTTTCATAAAGTCATTTATATTTTCTTGGAATAAATACGTAGACTGTTCAGGGAAATGCTATATTTCAATAATTTCCCGTATAACATAACCCTTTTCTAAAGCCTTTTTTTTCCAGCGTTGTCCAGCACCCCGTGATCGTTCTTTCTTCTTCTGTATGTTCACAATTGTCTGACTGGTGGTGATGCAGGCACTTACAACATTGCGTAAATACTAATTTGTCGGTCTTTATAGGTAATACAGGGTAATATAATTTACGTGACGGTAAAATTTTGCGTTTTACCAAATCGAACCATTGGGATCATATTCAGACGGCCTACGTATTTTGCTAAGGTGTCCAATGAGAAAAGGGTCGTAATATTGAACGGTGGGATACAGAGAAACCACATCAACATACTGCATTCTCTTATCGATTTATTGTAGCTTTGCCGCGTTGGAACGTCCTCCGAAAAATGATTCTCTCGGATTGAGCGGTTCGTCGTCAATATCTACATTTTTAGCGGTTTTGATTCTCTCTTTTGACTTTTGATTTGAGGCAGTTGTATTCCCACATCTCCACTATCGAATACTCGGCATCCTTCAATTGTTGACTTCGACGTTGTGTTTTCTCATACAGATCGTCCATTGTTTCGTGACTTACATGATTAATTGTTGTGGGACAATAACATTTGGGACACCCATGCCAAAAACACCCTTAGTACTGATAAACTGTATTTATGACGTTATCATAACCGTCAATTTTATTACCGTATTTTGTTATTTCACTGCCGTTTAGGGCGTTACGGACATTACCGAACTGGTTTAGCCACGAACCTGGCTGCATGTGTCTTTCGATTCTGCCTCTACACCGGCAATAGTTTTTTCTGGTATATATTTTGATCTGTAAATAGCCATGCACACACTCGCTATCGTAAGGTACTGCAAGGGATCAATGTCAGCAATCTCCAAAATCTCCTTTCGAAATTCCAAGCTCAGAATATCCACATTGGAATCACAATAGTCGTGCAGCTCTCGTTGAAAATCAAATACATAGTTTTCATTTATTCGGGACGTATGCTATTCCAAAAATACTTGTCGTTCCTTCGATTTCATGATGTCTGGTGCATAATACTTGATGTCGGGTAGGTTGCCTATATAATTTTGGTTTTCGGGAGTGTAGAATAAGTGCGGGAAGTACCCCTTCTTCAGTTCCTTCAGACTGAAAGTTTTTGGAAAATCTGCCAAAGGTCCCGCAATGAAATTAGCAATGTCTATAATTTTTAGTTGAATTTCAGGTATTTCCAATAGCATTAGCTTGATAGAGTTTTTCACAGAATATTTAAGTATAAAATATGAGTCATAGGCCTTAGTATTGTGAGCAATGGCTGTGTACCCGTTGCGCTTCTTGGCAATCAACCATTCACAGAATTCAGCGTTGTTTTTGAAACTGTATTTGTTGTTGTCAAAATCACGGACTATAATCAAATTAGGTATATGCACACCTGTATTTTTCATTGCCTCGTAGTCGAAGAAAATATATTTGGTCGTGTAAGTGCACTGTTGGATCTTCACTTCGGTGCGACCGTTACAAAGACACAGTACCTCACATGCACGTTCATTTTTGTTGTATAGACGACCCTTATTACGATCGCCAGCGCGGCTGTTACATGTACTCGGTACATCACAAATCCCACCCTGACGACTTTTCTTCACAATATAACAGTGATGTTCGGCCGTCCCAACGAATTCTTCACAGTTTCAACATGTTACAAAACCGCACTTATGCGGTTGTTGTCGATCGCAAAGTCTATTGCAATATTAAACACTTATAAATTTCTGCACAAACAACAATTTTTTTATAATAGTAAACACGACCGTAAAAACCAGTGATTATGATTACGTCGTAGTGGTTTTTGTTTTTATACAAATACAATGTGATCGGTTTTTCGGGATCTGAATAAATAACGCTGTTAAAAAATTCGGCACACCCGATTTTAATTTGTATATCGAGAAATTGTCGATAGTCTGTCAAAGAAAATCCAGTTTCAAACGATCTACCCAATAGTTCGCATAATCTTTGTGCCGCAATTATGTGTTTAATATTTAAAAGTGTTAACCGTAGTCCTAGAAATGTATTATATGGTACGTTAAAGCTGTTATGACGGCCCTAGCACTACACAGATTGTCGTCGTCTTTTATGGCGATATTGCTATGCTTTGTATGACAATTCTGTTTCAAATTTATCATTTCCATACAACCAGTACCACGAGGCATTTTAAAAGTTTGGATGTCAAACTTTGTAGCCCAAATATCGATCTCCTCGTTCGATGTCACAGTGTTCTCGACTTGATCGAGAATGTTCAGCATATTAGCATCAGTTGCTGTAGAAACGGGGTGCTTGAAACCTTCGTTGCTAGCGATTATTCGCAATTTATCCCCGGGGGAATCGCCGATTTCTGTTTTTAATCGGTCTATGGTTTCGTCTATTATTTCTTTTCAGGGAACCTTTTTCATAGTTTATTAATCCCGCGTCAATCTTCACCCCATCATTATAAAACTGTAATTGATACCTTAATAGGTAATTACTGAACTTCCGTACATACACCTTTGATAGTTGTTTTAAATCCAGGAAGATATCTGGTTGATGCTTGCCATTATTATTACTACTATTATTATTGATAAGTAAACTGATTGTGAGATACGGTGTAGAGATATATATACCCTTTTAAAATGAAGGCGTGGAGAGGGAAGTTAGGTGCCAGGGTTGTGGGAAAGAGTTATCAGCGACCAGGATCTATCTGGAATATTTAAATTCAGTCATCGAATTTAATACACCTTCAAAGCGGTCGAATGACGTCAACTCTTTCTAGAGAAAATAAAAACGGCCATCACTGCAAGACGTCACTATGGCTTTTCTAGAATAATTAGAATAAGTCATTAGTGCAATGACGTCATTTCAATTTTTTTCTAGAATAATTAGAATGAATCATCAATGCACGACAGGTTATCACCTGCAATGGGCAAGGCACAAGGTCATTTCGTTTTTTTTCTAGAAGAAATGAATGATGCTATAAACCTACTTACACGTTCATCAGTGCGATGACGTCATTTCAATTTTTTTCAAGAATAATTAGAAAGTAATCCAACGGCTTTGGTCACATAATTTTATTTTCAAAGTCTGGTAACACTGATCACATGGGATGTCGAGGAGAACTCCATATACGAAGATTTACTGGGAGAGCACCGCTCAGATGATGTCAGTGTTACTACAAATGAAGCCACCATTATTACTTTTATGAAAAAATGAGATAACATTCTAATTATAGTTTGTAAACGACCATTATTGGTTCTTAAACCTTAAAACAGAGTGGGAAACCACCATGTTCCCAAATAGGAAAACAGGAGACAAGGTGGCTAAAAAAGCGCCTGCATAAAGAAAAATGGTACGTGTTGAAATAATTTTTTTGTATTTAAATTTTTTCATAGTAAAATATTTGGAAAATATGCAGTAAAATAAAATAGAAGTCAAGAATTCAAAGAAATTACATAAATAATAAAACGCTTGTACGTAAAAGTTCTCAGCTGGAAATGCTGCACCTTGCAGCTTCTCGGGCAACATCAGTACAAGTACCTAACTGATTTTTTTTATATTACTATTAAGTATGTAAAATATGAAGTAAAATAAAATAAAAGTTAAACAAACTACATAAGTAATAAATGATAAGGGTTGTCTATACAACAAAAATGAACGTGTATGTGAGGTACCGTGTATTTGTAACGGTCGCACCAAAGTGAAGATCCAACAGTTCACTTACACGACCAAATATATTTTGTTCAGGTGTGCACCTACTTAATTTGATTATTGTCCGTGATTTTGAACAACAAAAAATACAGTTTCAAAACCAACGCTGAATTCTGCGAATGGTTGATCGCCAAGAAGCACAAGGGGTACACAACCGTTGCTCATAATACGAAGGTTATGACATATCTTATACTTAAATATTGTGTGGAAGTTATATTTTTAATAGTAAAGTTAAAATCACAACATAAATTATAAACGATTAACTGATAATATATGTATATCGATGATTTAGGGAGCCGGTTTAACCATAATTGGGGGTTCTTAAAGAGAAACCAGACTAAGATCAATAAAGGAAAGGCCGAAATACAAAAACAGGACAGACGAAGAAGCACAAAAAAGATATAAGGTTATAAAGTGGGAAATAATTCGGAAGTGTAGGGCACCTAAGGAACAGTGGATTGGTACGATGTGTAGTGAAGTAGAAGAAAAATTTGAAATAGGTAAAACCGATAAGGCTGATAGTACAATTAAGAGGAATTTT